TATTTCCTCTATTGAATAAATATCTCAAATCCTTGCTTTTTGCAAGTATTCATTCTATGCAAAAAGGTTCTTCTTCCAACTAGATTTATGATAAATGCTTGCCAAAATTTCAGAAATATCTGTGGAATTGTGCTGGTCAAATTCCCAAGGAAATATAATTATAAATATAATTTGAAAAACTTTTTTACATTAATTTTTCTTTCAACACACTCAATATCTATGATTCATGAAACAAGACCACAGTTTTGAGTGTTCCTAGTTTACCCTAAATATAAAGCATTAAGAATATCCTTGTTGCATGTAATTCACGAAATTCTTAATTTCAAATGACATTCAAAGTGGTTGTCAAAATAAATCATAAATTTATAACTTCCAGAAGAATAAGCATAGAATGTAAACTGCTACCATTTGTAATTTTTTTATCTACAATCATGTGATTAGTATACAAAAAATTACTGAACCAGAGTAAAGAATCTCAAACTAAATATAAACCACTAGTTGACAGAATTATAGTCATACACCAGCTAGGATATTCATCCTTGTAAAGGGATTGTTGTTTTCACTGTCAACTTATCATTGTTTTAATCTTCAATATGATTCAAAAGAAAAGTTGCTGTATCAATTTCTTGAAGAACATGTCCTAGGTGTAAAGCCTCTACGATGAACATTTAGGTACAGGCAAATCTGTAACATGATTTTTGACAAAGAGAAAGAGTAATCTCCAGTATGATTCAAGGGAAAGGCTACTATACCTATTCCTTGATGACTTTGTGTTTGTCATGAAGCCGCTATATACTGTTTATTTTAGTATTGGTAAATCTGCATGAAGATTTTTATTGAATAGTTAAAATTTCAGCATATTAAGTTAACATGTAGCTGTGCCATTTCTTGAAGAATTGGTATTAGGTATAAAGCCATGTCACTTTGCTGTACATTTGATCTACATCAAATGAAGTGAGGTGTAACTTAAGTCTTGGTTCAAAATAAAACTTGCTGCTGTGCAGGTATCTTAAGTTCAAAATAATGTACAACATTTCAAAGAAAGCACAATTTGGGTTTATTATGTCAGATTAAAAGTTGTTGTTGAGTTTGTAGTATGGCCTGGCTAACCTGTGTTACATGCACAAAATATTGATAGAAAGAACCACTTCCTGGAGTTAAGATCCTTGTCTCAAGGAAATAGGGATGATGTATTATTTAACAATCTTTAAGGAGTGAGTGCTCTCTTTTGAGATCTTTACTTACCCATTTTGAAAAAAAAATAGGTCTTAACTATGAGAAACTTCAGTCACCTTACCTCATTATTGTGAAGAGTAAGGCATAATTTGCATTCATAAGAACCGAGATGATTTTTCATAAAATAGGGATCCTGCAAATAAAAACAAGGATAAGAGTTCAACTTCACCTCTTTACAGGAAAATGATCTTGAAAATACCAGTAACTGTATTAATTACACTTTGTTGCCTTGCAATAGTAATAAACTTTCATAGTCACGTGCAATTTAAGTTGAAAGTACGGTAATCATGAAAGTGTATATATACCAGTAATGAAGCCAAAAACAGTGAAGAGTTCTGAATGAATGAACTCTTTATTTCATGCGCATCATTTTGCCCGCAAAATAGCAAAAGCTAGACGAGGCAGTCGGAGAGGTAAGGTTACACAGCGCTCTAAGCTCAATTTTTCAAACAACCTTCAATTGTAAAATGGTCACCTTAAAAAAATTTACTAAAAGGACGTAAAGTCAGCAGTGACAATAACTCTCAAAAAAGAAACAACAACTTTGAGTTTAAATTTATAAGACATGTTTCGACATTCTCATGTCATCTTCAGTTGCAAATGAGCTTTTAACAGTTGTACATTTGAATTTATATTAAGGTACGTTACAAATTACGTGTCAGGGCTCACGTTACAATTTTTAAATACGCAAAAAATGTAAATAGCCCGCCCTTGACTAGATCAAATAATAATAATAATAACGTTAAAATAAAAGACCAAGGAACAACATAATTAAAAGGAAAGAGACAATTCCAGATGCTTCAACTGCTGATTAAGAATGGGTATTTCCCACTTAATATGCAATGCCTCTTTGATCTTAATTTGGATGTCAAGAAACTTATTTTCTTGCTTCGGAAAAATTGTTTTCCATCTTGGGTCATAGACAAGATCATTTACAGCTATCTAGCTAAGAAAAATAATCCTTCTCCTACTGGGCAGAATGCCTCCTCTAACTCTGGTAAACCTTCTTCGCACTATTATAAACTTCCGTATGTTGGTCGGTTAAGACAACTATTCAAACGTTATTGTAGAGCTGATTTAGATGTTAAGTTAGTCTTCAGTATGTTTAAACTCAGAAACATGTTCAGCATGAAAGATTCAGTACCGCTAGGTCTGCGTTCGCATTTCATTTATAAATTTTTGGGTGCCGGCTGTAATGTCAGTTATATTGGTGAGACCACTCGCCAGATTTGTACACCAGTTCGTGAGCACCTCTTGTCGGACAAAACTTCGCATAAAAATAATATTTTTAAATACAAGCACCTGCAATCATTAAGGGCCTGTCTTGACTCGTGTGATACTGAATGTTTCACAATCTTAGATTCTGCCGCTTCAAAATACAAAATTAAGATCAAAGAGGCAATGCATATTAAGTGGGAAAAACCCATTGTTAATCAGCAATTGAAGCATCTAGAATTGTCTCTTTCCTTTTAATTATGTTGTTCCTTGGTCTTTTCTTTTATCATTATCATTATTATTAGTATTATTATTTTTTGATCTAGTCAAGCATGCACTATTTACATTTTTTACGTATTTAATATTTAAATTGTAATGAAAGCCCTGACACGTAATTTGTAATGTACCTTAATATAAATTCAAATGTAAAACCATTAAAAGCTCATTTGCAACTGAAGATGACATGAGAACGTCAAAACATGTCCTGTAAATTTAAACTCAAAGTTCTCGTTTCTTTATTGAAAAAAAATTTAGTCGCACTCCCTCCCCCCCCCCCAAAAAAAAACAGAAGGGGAGGAGACTTCATGATACATTACACAATGGGCTAATGCGCTGAACAGCATGTCTTATCACTTAGGTTGAAGTTGAAGGTCATTTATTTGTTTAAGCAGGTTGATTAATTTGGCAGCTGTAATAGCTGATGTGGACCTGCTGTCCTAACCCACCCATCCCACCCCAGGGGACGACATCCATCACACAGTAATCTCGTGTGTGGGAAATTAACGTCTCCTGCCCCAACCCTGCAGGAGACGGGACCTCCATTTATTTGTCCCTATGCGAGAAGACTAGAATATCTAACCATTTCCTGATGTTATAGAAAGGTAGCAAATTCTTCTCAATTATTTTAAGACCTTGAGTGTTGGTCTGGCCGGGGCTCGAACCCTCGACCTCCCGCACTACAGTCCAGCGCTCTATCCATTGAGCTAAAAAGGAAGAGACTGCCTAGTAGCAAAAACGATTTATTTCAACATTACAAAGCTGCTGAGACCGTGCAACATTGCCAATTGCCCCTACAAATCGATCGAATTTGCCATTTTTTTACGCATTCGAGAGGCGAAAAGAGAAACGCAGGTGATGCCACAGCTTGTACTATTGATTAAATTCGTCCTATTGTTGATAATTTTTCAAGCAAGTTTCTCTTTTAATCGGTTGGTCGCCGATTGGTGACTTTCACCAGAATTTTAGTCGCCAAATACTTTTTTCACTCGCCATGGCGACCAAAATGGTCGCAGCTTAGAGCGCTGTTACAGCAGTCATAACAGATAATATAATAACTGTAAAGTAAGTAACTAACTAACTTATTAACTAATAATAATTTTAAAGTAACTAAATAAATCTGGATAAATAAGAATTACTGAAAAACAAGCTTAGGTTACAGAATATATAGTCTTACAGAATAATACTACAATCAAATTTACTCCTAACAGAACCTATCGATTATTAGCACATGAATTCAAGGATATAGAATTTGTCATACATTTAAGTATGCAAGCCCTATCGTGGCACAGCTGTGTAACATGAAGAGGGCCATGCATGTGAGTTCGCACAAACTCATGCGTGGTCAACAAGCGACGTAAACTATGAAATAGGTTTACCTTGTTAAGATCGATTGTCTCTAAAGCAAGCTGCCTCAGACGTTCTCGACGGTCTCTGTTCGATTCTGACCACGACGCTACACCACCCGAACCTGTTTTCCCTCCAGCACGGTTTTGAAAATCCATGTTGGACAAAGACAAGCGGAGTTTGGAAGAAGAAATATGGCAGCAGTGAGTGTGAGAGAGACTGGAACGAGGAGGGTTACCTGGGCCTCTGGGTAGCGCCTCGCTTTCGCGTGGCCAATCTGAACGTTTTCAGGCTCAAATCACGAAAAATTAAAAACTTTCTTACAAAAACAAACCGAAAAAAAAAAATTCAAAGTGAACTCGGATAATACTTAATGAAAGACTGGGAATTGACTTTTTGTATAGCTCAGGGGGTTTACCTCCTGGAAAAAATTTTTATAATTCTTTATTCTATTATCTTTTTACGAGCAATTGCCCGCTAAAGTTCTAAAACGACATCTTGTTCAATGATGAAAAGTGTTCGTGTTACAAAAATTGTAGAGGGGTTCTACCTAGTACTATAATAAAAATGGGAATGATAATTTTGCTTCAATAAACATGGTCCACAGGCTGAGATATGTCCATTGTCTGTATATTGTCATCATGTAAACGAGTACGTGCAAATGCAGCGCAACGGATTGGCCTTTAGTCCAGAGAATAAAAGGCTGTGAATGCAATTCCTGCCGTACATGACATGTGCTTTTTCTGTTTTGTTTTTATTTTCTTTTTCCTTATGAAAGATATATTTATTTATAAAAAAAATAAAGGGAAAGGCAGTATTTGCCTTTCCGATGGATGCCTTCAAAAATTATTTGGAGGAAATTAATCATTAGGGAATACGTCAAGCACGTCGATCGATTTCGAACTCAAAATATGGTAGCCTTTGTCGAGCTTAAAGTTATTACCAGTGTCAGATAGAATTTGCAATCGAATTGAAGAGGAAGAACGTTGATGTCTTCAGACAGGACAATCGTATCTTAAATGCGACTTGTATGTGTCCTGGTTCAGGTCAATCACAAACGGGTGCTACTTCCATTGAACAGCACTGAAATTGAGAACTTTAAGCAAGAAACGATCTACGAATAAGGAATATTACATCAGAAATAAATCACTTCGGGGATAAGCCTTTTTTGACTTGGACGCATGCGACTGTCAACTCCCTTAACTTTTCATCCTTATGTTGATTTCTATTCAAAACGTGAGCGGTACTCCCCAAGGCATGGCGATAACTTAACTCAGAAAAAAGGGATTCAAGCCCCGGCCAGACCAATACTCAGGGTTATAGATTTGGGTAGCTCATTTCTTACGGGATTATCTTTATGAGATTTGAGCTGAATTTCAATAGTAAGTAATTGTAATGATCCCAATAGCAATAAAGTATCAGATTTTACTCAACTAGTTTTACAGCCAACGTATCATGGCCGCCGCTATCAAAAGCACATGGTTTTTTCCATGCATACTTAGCGGCCTAATAGAGCGTTTGCACATGACGTCACAAATTTCGCGGGAAAGTTGAGTCGCCATGTTGGTGTTCCACATTTTTCAACATGGCGGGATATCCTCTCTCAGATTATGCGAACACGCTCGATCCCCACGTGAAAAAACGTTATTTAGAGAAGATTTCTTGTGTTGGAATCGATCCTCTCTTGTT